TTAAATCGTGACGATGGCGGTCTGCTTCCTGACGCCTATTTACACCTCGTCAGAAAAAAAAAGGCCGCTAATTAGTGATCATATAAAAGGACCTCTTGTTGCAGCGTTTAGATCACCCCTGATGAAGGCACTAGACAGGAGTGTCGAAACGTTGGGTCTATGAATTGTAACTTCTTCGGTTACATTCATTAAATCTGCAAACCAGTGTAGCTTCAAACTATGTCTGAGTATAGAATTGTTAACAAATCATCAGAAGGCTTGGTTACCTAATTGAGCCTGGTGTCTAAGCTCCTTCAGAAAGCACTATATAACATCGTCCTAAACCAGATGAGCCCACGACATATCAGCGGCATCTTGTATGAGTATCCGCAGTTTACAATGTGACTTCCGCTTATTCTTGTTAAAGCGTATTTTACAGTGTACTCATGGAATAGGAAGTGCGTTTGAGCCAGTTTCTGGCAGATTTGAACAGAAAAGCGGGTCTTTTGTTGGAGTGTAATGACATTTTGATCGATGGCGCTGTTAACGAAATGTTTGGCTGGTTCATAAGTTGTCGACCTGGTTTCGGTCGATCTGATTAATTGACAACACCCCTTAGGGCAATACATATCATCGTCCCAAACCAGATGAGCCCATGACACGTCAGCGGAATCGTAGCGAGAGTCTTCTATTTTTCTGCTCGTTTCCGGCGAATCAAGAGACCGTGACCTGTGTGACTGACGATAAAGCGTCGTATTCTTCAATATTTTATTGCGAAAGTATTCGTCCCATAACTTGTACAAACTAATTTCTGTCTAGATCACATATTTAAGAAAAAATCTAGCCTGTTATAAAGGCGTTAAAAGGAGGATCGACACTTAAATATGACCAGCCTAATAGTTTCGGTCGATGTTATCCTCTGACCTCGCTATCATCGACCAAAAGCAGATTCAGGTCAAAGATCATTTGCATAACTTTGCACTGTAAAATCTTTCGATTGGAACAAACATACAGTTCTTTTCTGTTTGTAATAAATTATCTTTACGTTTTATTTGACCATGATCTCTTGGTTTTTGTTCAACATCGTATTTGCTACTAATAAATATATTTGCCAAGGGGTGGTCCAGTTAATATTTAACACTCATGCATTTCAAGATGGACCGTACAGTTTGACCCTTATTCCGGGTATGTTAACGATGAAAGCAGCGCTGACGAACTCATAAAACAGTACGAGATGGCTACGACGACACGCTTCACTGTATTTAAACAAACAGGAGGATTTTCAAATTGCAGTAGGCTGGGTAAGTAAGCTCACATGTAAAGATTTACAAAATAAACCATACTGACAGTAAAGTAAAGTGAAGTATAACTTTATTTAGACACTATAGGTATTTAAAGTCAGGGGCGTGTGAGATCGTGTTATTAACATGAAATATAGATAAATCAAAATAAAAAAAGGGATTTAACTTTTTTCCAATAATTATTGATATCTTAAGAATACATGTACACATCATTATTCTTCGGTTTACCCTGGTCAGTTAGACTTTCAAAATTAACATGTAATTAAAATTCAACTTAGCTTCAAGTGTAGAAAAAGGCACCACTTGAAACAGGTCCTCAGTGCCAAAAAAAAAAGTATGCTCATTTGCCGCTCCGATTGAGACTTAAAAGAAAAAACAGTCATCCTATTCAGTTACCTTGCCAGTCAAAGAAACCAGCCACTCTGCCACAGTCTCAGAAAAAAAGTTTCAATATCTGTCATAATCTTGCCAATAATCCAAAAGAGGTTTTCATTAAAATAGAAAAAGAAGAAAAGGATGACACCCTGAAGATGACGTCCACTTCTGAACAAGATACCCAACCCTTCTTTAACGAAAATATCACACCCTTACCACAAAATACAACTATCCCCATCACCTCAGGTACATGTGATGAACCAAAAATGCAAAAGACAACTTCCACTACCATATTATCTACTGCAAAAGAATGTGACCAGCTAATTCCTGTCTCATTAACTGATGATAACTGTCCTGATCCAAAGTCATGGTTGCATCCACAGGACCCTGGGAAAAAGAGTGACACCCTGAAAGCAATAGCCATTAATAAGGAGACCTCTGCTGAACAAGATACTCATCCCTTCATCAAAGAAAATGCCACTCACTCACTCAAAAGCACAACTATCTCCATCAACACATGTGTATGTGATGACTCAATGCAAGATACAACTTCTACTAACCTATCATCTGGCATTACAAAAGAATACAACCAGCAAATTCCTGTCTTAGTTATTGCTGACAGCTCTCCTGATCCAAAGTCATGGTTGCATCTTCAGGACCCTGAGGACCCAACCTCAACCCTGACACTGTATGAAGATTCAAAGGATCACATTTTAAACAAGACAACATGGCTGTGTGATTCTGAGATACATGCTGGTCAGCTCCTCCTAAAACAAAAATTCCCTCTTGTAGATGGTCTAAGGGACCCTGTTATTGTGGGTGCATTAGTCACTCCAGCCATTAGTGAGTTTGTACAGATCATAAACACTGGCTCACACTGGGTTTGCCTGAGCACAATAGCTACTAGTCCTGGAACTGTCAAGGTGTATGACAGCTTATATCAAAATGTAAGCGCGGTTGCCATTGATCATTCATGTCGCATGCTATTGTATACTGGTTCTACAGTCACTTTTTCTAATGAAAGAGTGCAAAAGCAAACAAATTCAAATGACTGTGGCTTGTTTGCACTGGCATTTGCTACAGATTTATGCCATGGCCTAGACCCCACAGCGCAGTCATATGACCAAGACAAAATGCGCAAACACTACATCAACTGCCTGGACTTGCATGATATGGTTCCTTTCCCAAGAACATCAAGATGGGTACCATATCATGCAATCACCAAAAGAAAAGCAGTGACAATCTAAAAGTCTATATGTGGCTATGGTCTGAATGATTTGTAATTCAAAATTATGAATGAATTCAAAATTATGAAAACTATGAATTTCTCCGTCAGTTTTCTGCCTAACTCAGTTTTCTGCGTAACTTATTTTTCCTTGTTCTTGAGTTTGGGGTGCTTTAATATCATGATGAAAATTGCCTGTAAGAATTTCATGGATGATACTTACAGACCCACATTTAATCCATAGGTTATATTCTACAAGTTCAAATTGAAATACTTAACATTTAGGAGGAAGCTCAAGCTGAATATTCGAATGTTGACCGTCGGTGTATTGTCATCACACAATCATCTTAAAATTATAAATATGTACATCAATTTATTTAATACAAGTTTGAAGGCTTATCATGAGATAAACTTCTGATTAAGTACCTCTTCAGAAATTTCTGTACATATAAGTTTAACACAAATGCAATTAAAATTAATACTTATCTTTCTCGAGTATTTTGATGTCATTGTTCTTCTGCTCACTTGGCAGCTATGAGGCTTAGGTCGATGGTGTGTAGGATTTTCAAGAGGTGTTGTCAATCAATCAGATCGACCGAAACCAGGTTGACAACTTACGAACCGGCCAAACATTTCGTTAACAGCGCCATCAAAGTATCATTACAGTCCAACAAAGGACCTGTTTTTCTGTTCAAATCTGGCAGAAACTGGCTCAGACGCACTACGCGAACTTCCTGACACTCGAGTACACTGTGAGTACGCGTCAACAAGAAAAAGCGGAAGTCACATTGTAAACTGCGGATACTCATACAAGATGCCGCTGATATGTCGTGGGCTCATCTGGTTTAGGACGATGTTATATAGTGCTTTCCCTTTCGGAACAGAAAGTGATCCCAAAAAAAATTTATGCAGCCCGACGAACAGAGCTGAATAACGTCTGCGCATGCGCTGGGCTTTGGCGCGGAAAATGTTTTTTTTAGTAGTTTGCATGTTTGATTTTCCATTCTGTTGCTTCTAGGCCTTGTTTCCCTTGCTGCTTTTCTTTCACAGAGAAACCTCCTAAAAATTTGTACACCCCCTAAAAATTTTTAAAAATTGAGTTTCTCTTTAAAAACGCTGGAAATGGGAAAATGCCTTCAACGACAGCAAAATGCCCCGGTTTTAAATGCCAGCCCCTTTTTTCACTGCATATTTCGTTGAATTTTAAAGCTCGTGTGCTTAAGCCCGCGTTATTGATCGCAAAGCTGTGACGTAGCATTTCGTTATTCAGCTCGGCCAGCTCGACGTCTGAATCAGAGTCGTACTTCCTTCATGCTATTGTCGAACCTTATGACAATTAAGTTCTTCACGGCAAAAGCGAGACGTCTGAACTAGGCCTGAGAAACTAATCAAATTTCACGTTGAAAATAAAAGTTCTCAATCAATTTTCTTCACCTCCTCATCACCCGTCAGATTTTTGTAGCTCGTTTCGTTTGTTGGAAGTGTTATTCAACCTTGCGTTTTTTGTGATAGCTGAACTATCAAAACAACTAAGGTCTACAGGAATTGTTCCTTCGCAGTTTTCAGTCCGAGTGTTGTTTTAATAAAAAAAAAACTCCGGAACCATAGGAACGAAGAACTTCTTTGAAAAAGGTAAGTACATGATTAAAATTGTAAAAACCCTGAACACAGTACGGTAGTAAACGATACATCTTCCTTAACATATGGCCCCTAGGCTCTTCGCCTACATGCGGAGGGCTCTGGGAGCTAGTTCACAGATTCCCGCCTTTTCCCGAAAGTGGCATCTTCCACGAAGCTACTACTCTTTGGCGAAGATAGCTTTTTTACGAGTTTTTTCGACAGATTATGTTGTTCCAGGTGAGGAAAAACTAAAAGTTTGCTGCATTTTGACACTTGATGCGTTTGAGGGGTGCAACTGCCTGTCAAGCTTTTAAAACACTCACTTAACGATTAACATTACATGTTACATTCAAATATTCCACGTTGGTAAGGTGAAAAGCACAAGGAAACTAGCTTTGGAATTGTTACCTAAAATACTTTACCACCTGTACTTTTAGCACCTGACAATTGTTGCATATGCTGCGGATGGAAATGTTGTATGAAGTAAACATATTTGAAACATGAAGAAGCTTTTGATCAAAGTTGTCTTCATGGTGTTCATTATAAAGCAAGTTATTATGACTAGAACGGGTAAGAATATATAGTTATGATTTACTGACAAAACATGTAGATTGTGAGGTAACCATTTTATTTGAATGAATATATCTCTTCACCTCTCTTAGCGAGTTCTTGTGGTAAATTCATGCAGATGATTTTTAACTTCCTTGTGGTCGAGAACTAAGTAATTAGTGTAAAACTGCCTCCCCAAAATTGGAGTTCTTTCTAATCGGTTCTTTCGGGTCATACTTTAGTGGGATCCTGTGTATTTAAAGCATGTTGTTAGATGTATGTTGCTGGTATTTAAGGTCAAGAAAGGATGACAGCCACTCAAAGTCCCTGTTAAAGGGCTAGAGAAAATGTCTAACTACAGTCCCTTCCAAATGGTATTACAGACTGTGTTAGGACTTTCATACATTATTTATTTAGGATAAATTGGCATGTGATTCATGCAAAATAATATTATTCCCACAGATTCATACAAACACTTTAACTACTTCTATCATCAAAAGTGGCTTTTGCAATCATGAGTAGCTCATAAATGAGAAAAGAAGCCAATTTTTCTTTACTGAAGTAGAATTTAATGGTAGGTTCAGCATTTACTTAAATTAAGGTCCCCTTTCATATTTTAAGATCCATTTCATACTTGATTCATTCTTCACATTTTTTATCATCTAGGACCAACAGACTTAACACTGGTTGAAACAAATTTGACATCAATCACAGTAAGGTGGAAACCTAATTTTGAAAGTGATGGTTATAACTCACTACAAGGATACAGGATAAAATATGCAAAGTCTGGGGATGCTGATTATGCCATTATAGATGTGAAGTCTGAGGAAACTCAAGCTAAAATAACAGACCTTGAAAAGAACACCAACTATGAAATTTGTGTGGCTGGAGTATTTAGTATAGGAGGAAGAGGACAGTATTCAGAGAAAATTGAAGCAAGGACAAAATTGTCTAGTAAGTGCATTATTGAGAGTTAATGTTTACAATAAAAAATTCATTGTACATAATTGTAGTTGTTATTTACATGCCCCTTTCAAAAACTCAGTGATCTGAAACTCAAAAAGTATGATGCTTTGACCCCAAGATATGATATGGTTATAGAATTCCTCCCTGAATTTCCATGGTCAATTCTCACCTGAAATTTTTTTTAAGTTTATGGGAGTCTGTTTTTCTGTGCCAAGTTATTGTTTGTCTTGTAGTGTACTACAGAAGACAATAAACATCTCACAATCATTTCAGAATGGCATGTGAGATAGGAAAGCTTTACCTTGCGCAAATGTCCTAAAAGGAGTGATCAGCACATCATGAAAAATTTGGAGGAAAAATTTTGTCTTTAAAGAGAGAAAATTTTACTGTTTGAATCAGCAAATTATTCCCAGTAGATCTGAAGATATAATTTTTTCAGTTCTAGCCATGACACTAAAAAAGTTGAGAAACATCTCAAAGTAATTTCACATCATGGAAACTTTGAATTAGAAAATTGTATTTATTTGAATAGACATCACTCTATCATTTATTCAAAAAGAGATCATTTTATCATTTCAATCAGCGACAAATGCTTAGAAGAGCAGCTAAATTTGTGAAGTGAGCAAGGTCCGAAATACAATACGTTAAGTTCATCAGGGTGATGCCATTCAATGGAATGATGGAGTGGTGGAATGGCAGAATATTTTAAAACACAGAATGCCTTGTTGTATGAAACAAAAGTCTCACAAAAATGGAATTGCAATGAAATGAGAAAATGATTTATAATTAACAGGCAAATCAATATTAAAAGAAGGCTAGTTTAATCATTATAGGAGCCTAGGGATAGACTGACAGAGGAACAGTGAGGTTCTTGAGCTAGCCCCTATAAGTTATTATTACTATTACTTTTGTTATCATCATCATCATTATTATAATTATAATTATTTTTAATATTAATATGATAACTTGTTACCATTCATAAGTAGTGAAGTGTCAATTATTCACTATATTCTTCAATCATCTTTTTCTTGTGGAACAGGGCTCTCATAAGTGTGTGGGATGCAGCAGGTTTTCTGTTTTGCATGTGAAACAAATCTTCTGCAATGCTACCTCATCATCATACAACCACTGGTTCTTTTCAATGCTACAAAAAATTGTGCTATATCAGTAGCCATATGCAGTCTTAACTGCCTATTTTTTCTGTTTAATCAGACATTCCATGTTACAGCCCAAATGTGACCCTGCCAAATGTCTCACCAAGTGCATCTTCAGATTGGAGCATTCACAGATCAAGACAGTTTGTAATCCAATCTGAGGTCAAACTAAATTGTGAGTTATCTGACAAAACATTGTTCCTTTGGCATGTTTATCAACTGGGTAAAAAAAATATGCCATTACTTTCAAGAAATACTCCCTCAGAATTGCACATCACACCCCGCTTGTTGCCAGTTGGTGATTTTATGGTTCAACTCAACGTCAGCATGATAGGAACAGCAGTGTTTGGGGTCAGTCAGGGTTACTTCCAGGTGGTGAGAAGCCCTTTGGTTGCATTAATTGCTGGAGGAAGCAAGGTGGCCAGAGGACTGAACAGGACATTGATGTTTGATGCATCCCTTTCGTATGATCCGGATGAGGAGAATGGACACTTCTTTGGTAAATGATCTGTAATTCCAAGTGAGACCAGAGAAAAATATTTTATTCACTCATAAAAACATGAAAAATTATGTGTGGATAAATGAATGAGAGATAGCATGGATGAGTGAGTGAATTCAGGTGAATAAATTAATTTATTTTATAATATGTGAGTGGATGAGTTAATAAATGAGTCAATTAAGTGGTCAATTAATTAATCTAATCTAATGAGTGAGTGGATGAGTGATTGAGTGAGTGAGACTGGTTGAATCAATGAAGGAGTGAATGATTTTAATGATCAATGAATTTAAATAGTAGACTTTGTAAACAAATTAATGAATGAAAGAATTGATGTAAGATCAATAACTGAAAAATGGACAAATGAATGAATTAACTACTGTGGTGGTAAGAGAGAGAAAGAATGAATGAGGGAGCAAGTGTGTGATTAGAAGAATAATTTTTTTAACAGTTGAATGAATGAAAAAATGATTGACCGAAGGAATGAATTAATGATCATTGAGTGAATTTACATGAATTGTTAAGTTAGTGATGAATTGATAAAAGAGTGAATGAATGAACAAATGAATATGAAAGGCTTAGCTACAAGTATTTACTGGCTAACATTGCTAGTCAGCTCTGCACAGGTATTTTTTGTTCATTTTTTATGACTAACTGATCCATTGACTGGCTGACCAACAGAATGACTGACTGGCTGACTTGCCATTTGCCTTATTTACATGTATCTCATGCCATACTATGTTATGCCATTTTAGGCCTCAATTTCACATGGCTATGTAGACAAGAGTCACCTCTGGATCTTAATAATTCAAACAAAGCAGGATGTTATTATAGAACTGGTGATAAAGAATCTGTTGAGCACAAACTTAGAGTGAACAACAGTCTCATGGCAGAAAATACCTCATACTTCATAACAGTGCTGATTACAAAGGATAAAAGGCAAGCTAAGTACACTCAGGAAGTGTACATTGTCTCAGGCGATCCACCAGAAGTGGAAATCAGGTATTTAACTCAATTTAAGAATCAAGATGACCGAACTAAAAATAAGAATTAACTGCTAATAAATCTTGATATCAAGGGTATAGCGAGACTTAAATCTGGGAGAGAGAACGGCTGGATTTTCTTCCAGTCTTAACAGAGTAATCTCTGAAGAAGAAGAAAGATAATACTGATCTTACATGTAGCCTGCACTTGCTACCTAGGATATTGTCGGAGAAACCCATGGTTATATAAGAAAGTCTCTGAGTCAAAAAACTGAAAAAAAAGTTGAGATTCCAAAGACAGAAGGAGACACGGTTGAAACGTCAGACCACGGGAAATTTGTGGAAATGATAGTCGTAGTGATGTAGCGGCAGTTTTTATTGCGCTATTAATTTCGATAAACTAACACCTGTTCCAGAAACTATACAAAAAAAGTTACAAAAATTCGATCTTGTTTAGGGCAGAGGTGAACTGCAACACTCAGTTACCATTTTGGAAGAGAGATCTGACTATGTTGGTCGATGGTATTAGATGGTTATTTGGTAATATCCGACACAAGCTTTTTTGTGAACTGGAACTTGTTTAGTGGAATTTTAAAATCGGGTTGACAACACAGCGGTTTCCTTTCAGTTTTTAGTTTCAACTATTTCACAATGCATTTTTAATCGATGACTGGTAGTTGTACAAATCAACATTATCTTTGATTTTCTTGACCGACTGGCTCCATATACTTTTTGATTATTTGAAATAGGTGTGTTGAAAACTGTGATATAAAATTAAATCCATCTGGAAGAATGGCTCTACAAGGTATCTGCACAGGTGCTTCTTGTCATGGTACTCTCAATCACAAGTGGACAATTTTGAGAAACTCAAATAACTCATCTAACAATACCCGATGGGCGGAAGTGTTAGAAATACAAAAGTTGGTAACTACTTCAATAACGTCGAAATCTCTTGTTACTAGACCTAGAGTCCTGACACCCAATACTCGTTTTAAGTTTATATTGACTGCACAACGATCAGGTGGATATATGGGGTATTCCGAATTCCACGTCACCACAAACAGCCCGCCTACTGGGGGAGTATGCAGTGTCAGCCCAACATCAGGAGTTACTCTTACAACAGAGTTTCATTTTACGTGTGATAACTGGGAGGATCCGGACCTCCAGCTACGATATGATTTTATTTACCTGACACATAACAATCTGCTCAATGTGGCATACACAGGTATAAAAACTAGTATAACAACCAAGCTTCCTGCAGGGGAAAAGAAAAATAACTTTACCATCGACTTTCGCGTGAGAGTAACCAACATGTTCGGAGTATTCACTGAAGTGAGGACTCCTGTACAGGTAAGAAACGGAAACGCTTAAGAAACAGCGTGCCTATTCATCCCCTTTTTTCCATGCGCTATCACAGTTATTATTTATGTCAACACTGTTTGTCATAATACGATACAGCTTATGTAAACTATGAAGCTCATGGAAGCCAGGCTATTCTGTTTTACCTTGATGATAGGTCTTACAGCCCAGCATTGAACAAACATACCTCTCAGATATTGTTCAAAACCTCACAACCGGGGATGAGAGTGAGCTGAAGTATTTGATCCAGTTGGGTGACGTGTCAAGTGCTCTACAATTGACGGCGGCAGCCATTTCGGTCGTTGGTGTAATTCCGAATTCGAAAACAACAGAAAGTCAGGCCCATGAGTTGACAGAGAAACGGATCATGGTAAGGTTATATTATGATACGCCACTTCTAATGAGACTTTCCAAATAACATTTCTCAAAATGCCTCTGTCAGGAAATTCGATTATTAAAGTTTCAGTGATTTACACGTCAATCTGGGTTGGAGTTCTTCTTAGAGCAGGGCCAGGTCCGCTGAAGCAATACTTCGTTTGAACTGAAGCTTGCAAGAGAAAGCTGATATGCCGAAAAACATCAGCAGCTTGGGTACTACTTAGTGCAACTGGCTTGAGCACTGATTCAATCTTACTCAAAATCTCCGTTTATAACCATCTTTTAATTTACCGTATGGAGCAGTTAACTGAGCTCACGTAAAAATGATAGCTAAGACGAGGTTAAACCGATGCTAAATTTCTAGTTATCTTTTCTTGGTTGTTGTTTGAAATGGTGATAATACTCTTTCCACAACGCAATGCGTCCCAGAGACAATTGCCTATGTAGGCTCTTTGTGAATTAGTTTCACCCTATCGACAAACCGTCGTGAGACAGTCTTTTTGTTTTAACAACAATAGAGGTTTCACACCTGTTAGAAACATTACTTCCTGTTTTACTTTTTCAGCACACTCACATCTTCACTTCTTTCATTTGTTATAGGTGAAATCAAACATCATACAACTGTTGTCCGCTATCCCGGTGGATACAGTCGTCAGAGTTCAGCAGGTGTCAAATGTAATTGCCTCCGCCAGCTCGGTCTTTGACGAGGTTACCGTTGAAGCACAGGTAATGTTATAAGCAAGTACTATTTTGTTATCAAAAGAAGATCACTAAAAAAAAAAATCATACATCGTTCTGGTCTTTGGAATTATTTTCGTTCAGAAAGATGCAACGGATGCACTCGGAAAGATGACTTCAGTATTGAAGGTGGAGAGTACAGCTGGGGAAAGTTACGACTCGCTTTATGATGGCGCAAAAAGTCTTGTTAATGGTCTTGGTAACATACTAAAGGTAGCATCACATGGAGCTAGAGTATACGATGAGCATTTACAGGAGAAATCTTACATCAAAGCTAACTTAACAAGTACAGATGAACAACTCTCACGTAAGAGCCGGTGGTTACCATTCAGGTCAAGAGGTTCCTTGCCATATTTATGGAGCAGAAGGAGAGAAAGAGACGCTTCTGACGCGCAGCTTCAGGTAAAGAACCATTCAGAAATACGGGTTCAAAACCTAGACTGTAAATGAAATTAAACTACAATAAAATAGAGGTATATTAGACGCCGTATCAAATTCTACCTCATTTCCGTGTATAGTATACATTTTAAGTTAAAACTTGTCTTACCTCGAAAAACAGCGCTCAAATTCTGATTGTTAGTTTGATGGTAAAATTATGACTATTTAACTGGCACCTCGCGTCACCAAACATTGTTGAAATACCTGTATGAGCTATAACTAACAATGACTGCGGCTACTGTTTCTATGGATATTTTTGTTTCAGGCTCGAATCCACGTTGAGAGTATACTCCAGTCTTTGAAAGAGATCGGAAGTATCATCTTGTCCCGAACTCTCGTTGGTGAGGAGCCGAAAATGCTTTCAGCCCAAGCCATATCTTTGTTAATGTTGCGAGAGGAGCCGAATATGCTCGTTAGGACTATTTTGACAAACAAAGGAAACAGTTTTCAGTTTACTTCTTTACCTATCCAGTTGGCTACCATTACCCAATTTGTAGATAGCCAGGTGGGTACAATATCTAATCAATTGCGCATAAAATAACTTCATTATAAACATTGCGCCGCTATTAATGTTAGTTCGCTGTAAATAAAACCTGTGAATAAACGTGTTCACATTCAGGCTCATAGGGGATTGTCTTTATGGGTGTGCCCTTGTAAGACGTTACTTCGTCCTAAGTAGTGGTTTCGATGGAGGCGGAAGGACAATACACTCATTAATTGCAAATAATGTATTAGATAAAAAGTATATCTTCTTGAAGCTAAGCTAAACTATAGTAAATGCCCTCTCCCTATATTGTTCCTTAATTAAGGTAGAGTTAACCTCAGTTTTTTCCTTTTGGCAAACCGTGCCCAAACTAATCACTTGCTAGGGACGTAGAGTAATATTTGGAAACTTTCGATCCGCCAACAGTGGAATCGACAGTGGTAAATTAAATTAAGATATATTGTGCTTTTTTTGTCTGTGTATCTTCAGTTGAAACCTACAGAGAGATTAATGAGACGATAATGTTCTTACTAGTGGGTTTCGAACCAACTGCTTTGAGAGGCGTTACTGTTACGTTCTTTTGTCCTTTTTTCTATATTTTCAGATGTTAACAACGGACTTTACACCTTTTTCTTGGGACCCCTCAGGCTCAAGAGTGACAACTGCAGTTTCAAGCCTTGAACTTAAGAATAGTTATGGGCATTTCCTGAATACGACAGAACTGACAGCTCCAATTACCATAAAACTTCAGAACCTCTCGCGATTCACAAAGGCCTCTCTGTCTCATTACATTGGAGCCAACAGAACTGTTTTTTACAAGATAAATGTCACTCAGTTAGGAATAGCCTTAGTGCTGAAGATTCGTCCGGAAAGCAACCAGACAGAGTTTGCTGTGACTGTTAAGTATGGAGAGCGGCCATCTCCGAGAAATATCGACTTGAATTTAACAATACCTGACCTTTCATCTTGCAATCAGATGCCAGATGGCTATGTGAACTGTTCACGCGATCCATATATAGTATTTATGAACCAGGAGTTTATTCAGAACAAGGGTCTTGGCTACTACTTCATTAGCCTTACAGTCATGCCAAGAGTTTCTGACATCTCTCGAGTTAGACGCTGCTCAAAGCGTTCATGTGTGCAATTCAAAAAACTACCCACCACAGGGGAAAGTCTCAACGTACCACAATACCATGAAGGTGATAAAAATTACACCATTCAAGCGATGCCGGCTGCTTGTCTGTTCTGGAATGCGAAAATATCCCGCTGGACGTCAGACGGATGCAAGGTAAAAAATAGAAAGTATACGTCGGCATACAATGTCCGCGGCTGAGAGACCGAAAAATTAATATTTGGCCGAGAGATGAAGCTTCGAGGGCAAATGTGAAATTTTTAGGACAATCTCTCAGCCGCGGACATTATCAGCTGACATGCCACCAAGCCAGAAAGGGATTTTTTTTATAGAAAACCCTCCCATTGATTTCCATATCGCGCTTTGACAGTTAGTCGAAGTTAGCTTTTAATGTCACTATTTCTGGGCTCCACCAAACGAATACGTTTCCTTCTATGTAAAGTAATAACTTTGAAATAGTGAATTTATTACTTTGGTCTTATTTCCGCTGGCTTTATTTCTTTTCGACGTAAAAAAAATCGGAGAATAAATATGGACGCAAACGGGGGTTATTGGGTGATAACTGTCTGATGATTTTGCCCCACGTGACGTAAAATAAGGCAATAGAATTGCGCGAAAATTAAAGGGTGGGTCGTTATGATGTTTTAACACGTTTTTTAAGTCATAATACTTTAGTTATTGAAGTTTTTTTTAATTTCACTTTTAAATTTGTTACAGAGCATAGAACATATGATGATAAGGTAGCTATTGAAGTAGTAACCCTCAGAACATTACCTTCTCTATCAATGGCCCCTTAATATCATATTATTTAGCTTGCTCCCCTCTATTTCCCCTTCCGCCATCATGTTCACCTTAACTTGAAATTAGCATCAAAGTCTAACTGTTGATGTAAACTTTTTAATTGAAGGTAAGCGAAGTAACAACTCAGGATTACATACATTGCTCCTGTAATCACCTGAGTGCTTTTGGTGGTCAGTTACTCGTGGCACCCACTCCCATCGATTTTGATAGAGTTTTCACAGAATTGGTTCGCTTACCAGATAGTGGAAACGTGGCTGTTATAATAGCAGTTGGCTGTGTGTTTGGTCTCTATCTGGGACTGCTGCTATGGGCCAGACGGAATGACAAACTTGATCTCGTGAAGGTAAAAATATAATACTAATTATTACCAATATGTGCGGTCCTAAAGACAACTGACCTCTGACTAACTCGCGCCCCGAGAGCCATGTATGACTAATTTAAAGCTCCTAATACCCTTATCAGTCGCACAGCTGATTGGTTCTTTCTTTGCTATTTGACGAATTTTATTTAACGAGGGTAAGCTTGTTATCCACTATCTAGCATTTCCAACCTTGAATCGCAATTTTTCAGTCGCTGAATCTTCTCCGATCGGTAGGCGAAATAATGGCAGAAATTTGGCAGTCAAAACTCAAATTCAAAGGCAAACGTTCAGCCAACTGAGCCATTTCTTGGGGGATCAAAAAAATGGTGCGAGAAATAAAAGCTGAAAGGTGACTTCGGTTTTGTGACACGAGCCATGCCATATGGAATGCTGTTGAAATCATTGATAGTTAATTTCAGCTTCGGTAGAGCGAGTATAAACACTTTACAGAGAGCTTATTTGTCACGTAAAATAAATGTTTGAAATCAAGTGGAAGCTATATATAGTAAAGGTGAACCCTAAACCCACGTACAAGGTTTGCTGATAGTGGTCGGGCATATAGCTTATTTGCACTCTTAAATGACGGTCGCAGATAACAATTATGCCCTTCAAAAAGTTCTTTTATTCCATTATTGTTACAGTTTGTGTCCATTTTGACATACTTACACCAGTTCTCCTTTCTCCTCTTGAAGGTGGGCGAGAGGGCATTCATAGGCGTACCCATACCTTGGTATCACTTCGTCGAGGTTCAAGTATTTACGGGCATCTGGCGAAACTCGGGAACCACCGCCAACGTTTTTATTGTACTGGAGGGAGAGTTAGGTACCAGTCGACCGTATCATTTGAAGCACCATTCGTGCATTCCTTTTGCAAGAGGGAGTATTATTTCCTTCGTTATTTCCATTCCTGTCGACATTGGCACCATAAAATCTGTTCGAGTATGGCATGACAATGCAGGCACCAGTCCATCATGGTTTTTGAATCAGATCAAGGTTAGCGATCTGTTCAGTAAGATACAAAGGAACTTTGTATGTTTTACGTGGCTGGCAGTTGATAAAGGTGATGGATTAATAGATCGTACCTTTCGTTTCACAACAGCGGGTGACAGAGGAATTGATTTTTCCTCGTATGTTCAGAACAGAATTGCTGAAGAAGTCAGTGATTTACATTTGTGGTTTTCTGTCGCTGCAAGACCACCAAGATATCGATTTAGTCGCGTGCAACGTTTATCTTGTTGTCTAGTATTATTGCTGACAATTATGCTAACTAGTGCGATGTTTTACGAACATAGAACAGCGATGGACGATGCACAGGGAACGCTAAGGTTGGGTCGTTTTGTTGTAAACTTCAGAGAATTCATCATTGGAGTGGAGAGCCTTATGGTTGTATTTCCTGCCTACATTTTGACCGTGCAACTTTTTGCTCGTACTCGATCCTCGAATGAGAATAAGCAAATGGCTCTCAAAACCAACGCAAGGACGAAATTTAGCAAGATAAAACGCGAGTTTTCTTTTCCACGCTGGTTTATTTGCGTTCCTTGGCTCTTGTGTTTTCTCCTCTCAACTTGTGCGGCGGCTTTTGTTATCTTCTACAGTCTACAGTGGGGTGCAGATACAAGTGAGCAGTGGCTTATTTCGGTTGCAATGTCAATTTTGTTGGACTTATTTGTAACGGAACCAGCGCAAATCATCGTCGTTGCTTTTATACTGCCTCATCTTTTCAAAAGTACATGTGATAGGTCCACCTGGATTTCTAGCCCTGTAGACACAGAGGTTAGTCTCGAAGATATTAGAGTCGGTGGGCTAGACTATGATGAAGTCGAAAAAGAAGAACTTAAAACACCAAAGCCCTTAACGAAGAGAAAATTACGTCGCGTAAGGGCTGCTCGAATGAGGGAAATGTATATGTACAAAGCTCTTCGGAATATAGTATCGTACTTACTATACTTGTTAATTTTACTTACTGTTTGTTACGGTGGACGTAGCAAGCATGGATACATGATGACATCTTCCATGAAGAACACATTTGGAGAACTCAATACGGTACGTAAATTACTTCTATTATAGGCTAATCTTCTCGTTTCAGACCAGTTTACTTTAATAAGAATGGATACAATTAACTTATAATGTTAACAGAATTTTGCAAAAGCTTGTTTGTCGAAGGTGTCGGTGACTTTACGGGCCTGAGGTCATAATTTCAATCTAAATCAAGGAGCCCGAGTTGTGAGTCTTGACTTGAACAACCAAAACATTTGGTTTCATTTCCTGACTGACTGATTCTCGAACCTATCCATACCTCGATCTTGAATGTGAACGAGACCAACAAAAATCAACTTTTTGGAGACAAGTAATTACCAAGACTTTCGAGAAACGGTTCCGTGAAGTTTATTTAAGGAAACTGTCGAAGTAGTTAGAAAAAAAGCTATCAAAGCTACTTTTAAATAGACAAGTTTCTGTCAAAGTATTTTCGTAGTTGCTAGGAACTGGTTTTCTACGGGAAAGGTACAGCTGCATGGATGTGTGTCAGCTTGGCTTCAAATTGCCAATTTAGACCGGCGCGCTAAGTACATTGGCACATGATAGAATCCCTGATAAAGGTTAAAATTCAATCTAGCATTTCCATTCCCCGGCAAAAGAGCGTAGAAAGTTTTAAATCCTAAGGAGAAATCTCGAAAGTACTTTTTGTCGTATCAAACAAAGACTCGCCTTTAGGACTGTTCGAAAAAACCACCAAATCATCTTGAATCGACCTTTCGAATCACTTTCAGAATTAAAATAAGCTGTTACTGTGAAGGAGATATCATTGTCATGTTAACTTTGGAACAATTTCAGTCATTTTTCTCCCATAGCATAATTTTATTAGGGGCTGCTTTCAAGTGCATACACTCATTAGATTTCACTTCGCCATTTTGATAATGGTTTCTTTTACAGTGTTAGGTTTTTATTGTAGTTTGACGTCAGCAATGCGTCGATAATCTGATAGATCACAAGCAACAACCATTTACGGTCGCAGAATATTCAGTTAACTGTATGAATATTTCTTTGAGGGGGGTAAGGGGTAAGTTTCTAAAGAAACTGTGATGCTGCGTCGGTGAGTGGGTATACAAGGTTAATTAAGTATTATCGACTTAACCATGAATATTTATTTGTTTAGTTACTAATTTATTTATTCATCACGCCGAACATTTAGATCTCAAATCACTTCAACACATGGAACTGGTTACGTGACGTTTTGGTACCCGGGCTTTTTGAAGACGGAAAAGATGTTACCTCAAATAGTTCCAGGCTCTACATTGGAAACGGCGACGCAGTCCTCGTTGGGATGCCTCGTCTTAGGCAGCTACGAGTCAAAGAAGGTATTTTGAAGGAAGTGTCTAAACGAAGACCAAACAAAATTGCACCCTGAATTTATCTCGTCGACAAACTGATTTCAGTTCAGCTTATATAAGCTTTAACAAGGTCGTCAAAAGTTCTTACTTCAAATTTTGAGTGGAGTAAAAAAACCTCGTAGAAACTATATTCGACTTGACGAGAAGTAGATCACTTTGAATAACTGTCAACGTGAATTGCTGGGTGTGCCAATGATTATGAGCTTGATTTGAATAATTTATAAAAGAATTAGTATATTTAAAATTTCGGGTAACCTGCACAGAAAAATTGTGCTTCATAAAGGTTATGCAAAATCATTTCATTTCATTAGCCAGCTTCCATTGAGGAGAGAAAATGAAAACCTTAATCATTAGTCATCAATTTATGAATTAATTAGCATCTCATGCACGCGATATCTCTATCACAAAGATGAAACAATAAACACTATGGTCTTTTTCCACTTTAAGGTTCTTGTGATGTCAGCATAGAGGAATTGACAACCCCACTCAACTCTTGCGTGGCTACATATACATTTACTAACGAGGACAAAACCAGCTCCCTTGGAAAAAAATGGCGTTTGTTTTCCTCATTTAGGAATGAGTCACTCGTTAGTCTTCCTCAGGTCTGTCCAAGTGCTTGGCATTATTCTTCAGCCCAGCAAACACTAAATATTCCCTTATGGGGAAAACTTCATCTGTTTAATTTTTATGGTGAAGGAGGTTACCTGGCCGAGTTGGGCTATGACAAAACTACAGCACTGAACGTCATCTCCGAACTAAACCTGTTTGACTGGATTGACAGATTTACCAGTGCATTAATTTTTGAGTGCGCAGTTTTTAACTCTCAGGTAAATTTGTTCAGTGTGATTTGGATCCTGATTGAGTTTTCGCCAAGTGGTCTCGTGGTTTCTAATCACGTGATTCATACTATGCACATATATGACATTGGTGGGGGCTACAGTACTGTAACCATAACCTGTCAATTGTTACTAGTGGTTTATATTATATACTTTGTTATCAAGGAAACGAGGAAGATGATCGTGGGAATTCGACTGTATTTCTCACGTTTTATCAATTGGGTGGAAATCCTCCAGACTATATCAGTCATTTTCTTTCTAATTGCTCACATTATGAAAGAAACAAAGCTCTTCGCTACCACAGCTGAACTTGAGAAAAACACATTTCAATTTATCAGCTTCGATTGGGGAGTTCTTCTACAAGACTTAGAAACGGTATTTTTATCGTTACTGATGTTCTTGAACACTTTGAAGTTGCTGTATTTGCTCAAATTCAATCCCCGTGTGAGGCATTTATTCCATGTAATGAAGGGATCTGCTCGGGAACTCGTTCACTGCTCAATTGTATTCGCTGTGTTCATGTTTGGATGTATCCATGTAGGATATATTCTATTTGGGAGAGAACTTTACTCCTTTTCTTCGCCTTTCCTCATTCTACAGTCTCTTCTTGTCGAAGGAGTCGTTGGTGGCGGAGTGGACTATTTTAACGATTGTTGCACAGTCATTGGCCCCGTTTACTTTACAGCGTTAAAATTGGGACTTAATCTCATATGCATAAATATTTTCGTTTCTGTTCTTGTTTATAATTATGGCCGCATCAGGGAACTCTCCAGAGGAGAATTTGGTCTTGGACACTTCGTGATAATGAAAACGAGGGAACTACTAGGCTGCGTGGGCGACCGCTTAAGGGCGAATGAAGACAAATCTGCGTATGATTTACCGAACACGGAGATTGAGGAAGATATTCTTCCTGAGGCAGCTGAGATATTGGCAAGGTTGGATCGGATTAATCATCTTTTAAATGTTCACTATGCCGAAGAATTTTGTGAAGACCTTGAACTGTTTTCTTTGTGGTTTGATCTCCACATGCAAGCTAGGAAATCCAAGGATTTACAAGAAAACTGGTTCGATTCACCAGAAAGTTTTGAGTCTGCTGAGGAGGAAGATTAGGTGGATGCAAAGGAATAAGAAATTTATTCCTTGTTTACCATAGGCAATTGATAAACGACTCGCCTTTAGGACGGTTCGAAAAAACCACCAAATCATCTTGAATCGACCTTTCGAATCACTATTGGAATTAAAATAAGCTGTTGCTGTGAAGGAGATATCATTGTCACGTTAACTTTGGAACAATTTCAGTCATTTGTCTCCCATAGCATAATTTTATTAGGGGCTGCTTTCAAGTGCATGCACTCATTAGATTTCACTTCGCCATTTTGATAATGGTTTCTTTTACAGTGTTAGGTTTTTATTGTAGTTAAACACTCATGATTGCGACAACTTTAATTGCAACTTCATCAATTGGACCTAATAGGCCTTGGAATCTTACCTTTCGCTAGTATTGCTAAAGATTGATATATTAACCTCCTAAATCAATGCGTCGTTGTTTTTACTTGGTGGTTATTGTAAAAAAGAAAATCTGCTCCTAAATACATGTTTTAGTGCAGTACTAACATGGCCGTGAGTCACTATTGTTTCGGTAGCCAATATGACCGTCGGAATATCCTGTGAAAACGATCTATAGGTCCCTCTAATGACCGTGAAAATGCAACTAAACTGGTGAAACGTTGGACTTCATCTAGACAGGCGTGAATTGAACTTATTAAAGTACCTGATCGCATGAACACTTATTGACGGTCACACCCAGTGCAAGGGACCATTTCTCCTGTGCACGCTCACACTAAACATTTTTACTGCGCGTCAAGTAAGAAACTCTTGAAAATATCAGAGCCGATGATTTCTGCGACCCAAATGGTTTGAAAGTATTTTTGTTGAATGTGCAGCCAACTCCATCCTTTTTTAGTAGTGATGACTGCTATCTACTACTTTTACCGTCCTGACAAAACAAAAAAACGCGACTGAAAGGAAGTTTTACAGAATCGACGTATATTGCTATGAAACGAAAATAAGCGGGCGCACACTTTGAAATTAAGCTTTCTGAGCTCAATTCGATTGTGTTGAGAAACAAGGATCATTGAGCTCAACGGCTTTTCGATAAAGCGAAGTTAAGCGTTTTATTTTTGCATCCGTTGATGAGTATAATTTTCAACAGTAAGAGGGGTAAGTTTCTAAAGAAACTGCGGCGCTACGTTGGTGGGAGAGTAATAACAGAATAATTTAGTATTATCAACGGAGTTGATAATAAATGAACGTAAATTGGCTACCGTAAAGAGTTTAAAAGTTGCAGATTCGAGTGCTAGCCCTTCATTATAGCGATTGGAGGAATCATGGGTTGAGTGTGTGTTATATGCAGAAAATCGAGCAACGCTATTGGTGGGAATATGGTGAAGAGAAAACGAGAATAAATTAGTTGAATGAAAAGCGCTCATTGATTCCGCACTAGTGCAGATTTGAAAGATAAATTTTTGTTCTTGAGTTTTTCGGCTAGATGTAGGGAAAGGCTGCAAACTGTCATATGCTGCTTAAAATGTTTAAGGAGATTAAAGTGTGGAATGCACATCAGCAGGAGATAAACTTGATAAAATTTGGTCCGAACTTCAACAAAGTAAGAACCACAGAAGCGAGTTTTAGGAATCAGAAAACAAAATTTAATTTCCCAAGTCAAATTTCAACGAAGACTAGTTCTAACTAGCATTTTTTACTGATATTTATATATATATATATTTTTTTTAACTAAACTTGTAAAGTCGATCGAGGGGGATTAAAAACTTACAAAAAAGACCAGTTAACCAAGAGAGCTACGGTCAGCTACTGATACTGATCCAATCTTTTTTTTGGAGAAAATTTTTGTTTCAGCTTTTTGGTTGGTGCGAAGTGCTGATGTAAGGCGAGGGAAATAGTCCTTTATTTTTGCTTCAATTCTAACGATATATTAGAAATAAATCTGTCAATTAAGTTACTGAAGCAGTGGTGTAATGTAACGGCTTTTCATTACTCCTACAGTCGCATGAGGACAAGCATAGCTTAGAATTTGGATATTGCTTACGAAGTCAATATGCATTTCATAACAAGAAATTTTAAAAATCTATTCATTGAGGAAAACGAGACGAAAGATTTGGCGGCGAACTAGTAAAGATTGGGCGAAGCCTCGAGGTACCCTCGCATGCCTTGGAAGGAAAGTCCTGCCTGCATTGAACAAACAAGTTTTCTAGTTGCGCTCACGAACAAAATGCACAACAATAACGATCTGAAGTGCAGAAATTTTCTTTTGTAAAAAAAAAGGCCATCTGCGACATAAAATACTGGCGCCTAAGCCTAATCACCCGTCACACATAAAAGGCCCTGGTGACGAGAAGGAGCATTTCCCGCCAGTTTTCCGCTATATTCCCCCGTGTGGCGTCTGCGTCATAGCTGACGAAGTCGTGTGACGTGCGAACTGTTAGGACAGGATTTCCGACGAATTATTGTGGTTCATGTAAGAGAATTAATTACTTTTATATATATTCTTTTAACTGATAATACTCAAAATTATTGCGTTCGATTTATTTAATAGTGCAAGCTTGTTAGTGGTAAATAACTAAAACAAGCCTGAACGTTTTACTACTCCTTACCTGAGTTAAATCCGCCGCTATATATACTTGGGTTCTCTTGAGGTAAGTTTAAGAGCTTAAACTGCTCTTTTGGTCATTTCATTTACACTCTTTCTCGGTATTTTATGTCGTAAAAATATCATGTTCCGGTGTCATTTGAATAGAATCTTGTTTTACAACCACTTTTTTGAGTCCTAGGTTGAAAGCCCAATTAATCAAATTCTTACAACTTCTTAGTAACAGACCACTTTTTAGTTTAATTTCATTGTCATTTCACTTATTCAGCTCTACGCACAGGTGACTCGCCTTGTTTCAAACGATTTGAAACAAAAAATACTTGGACGAGATTTCTAGAGCCCAATAATTACTCTTTATGCAATATGCTGACTTAAACAAACAGTTTGATGAGGTCTAATTTAGAAACAATCATAGGACGGGTCAGACGCACTGATCCGTCAATATGAACAACATTTTGTTTCTTTAATTTACAGTTCAAAACAAGTGGAATTTATACTGCAGTGCGTCTGCACTGGTTAATGATGGTGTACAAAAGTTTTAAAAATGTGGTTAAAACATCAATGACACCTTTGGCTACTCCCCTTATGAGCCAGTTTTTTTGTTCTTGCAACATTTTGACATCGTCTGCGATCTATTACTGAACAGATGCACAACATGGAATTGGCTAAACAGTTCAATCCCAACCCTGATAGTTTTAAACTATAAACTGAGATATCTCTTTATCTACATTCTAGTTCATGGCATGAGATGATGTAGATGAGAGTGCGTTGTAAGAGTGCACAGATTTAAAGCATGGAGAAGTTGTTGATCACATTTGTTTTGATTGTGCTTATTGAACAAATAAAATGTACAGGTAAAAACAAGTATAAAGTGTAATGTACAGACAAACTTATCCAGTGTGCATATGGGAATACCATTTTATTTACATGAGGATGTCTTTATACCTCTTTTTGTTGGTAAGTTAATTAATCTAACTATGAAAATTCATGTTACTCCCATGAATAGTTTACTGCAATACCCAATCATGTCTGGAATTCTATCTAATGGTTCTTTCTGTTCAATGACTTATAAGTAAGGGGAAAATGTATCTTATACACAGTGAGTCCCTCAGAATGTCACCACAGACTGTGTCATGAACTATGCATAATTTATGTAGATGAATCTATGCGAGATTGCAATTTTGGAAAAATTGTCAGATAATTCCTTGTCATTGTGATTATGAATTTTTTATTCATTAGTTTCAAGTGACCATGTGATTTCAAGTATTAATTGTCATTCATCTCATTTTGTATGATTTACATAGAACCCACAGGGCTCAAAGTTGTTACCACAAGCCAAAACTCAATCACAGTTAGTTGGGACCAGCTTTCTTCTGTCTCAGGATACAAGATAAGATATGCAAAATCTAATAGTAATGATCAGAAGTATATGACCGTAAGTTCTGATCAAAGAGAGGTTGAAATAACTGAGCTCAAGAAGAACACTGCATATAACATTCAGGTTGCTGGAATATATTTTGTGGATGGAAATGAAAAAGATGGGCCATATTCAAACAACGTGGAGGGCAGGACATTGTCACATAAATATGGTATGACAATTAGCTTGCTTTACTAATGTAATAAGAAAGAGTGGAGTCAAGGTTTAGCCCAAACCCAGAGTGAACTGGCTTTTATGCTGGGGTTTAATAGGATGGGTCAAATTATACAGGTAAGACAGCTGCAGACACTCTGAGTGAAAAACTGAGGATATATGCAGATTCCAAATTAATCTTGCTCTGGAATGTAAATTGAGTTCTTCAATGTGATTATGGTTATGTCTGGGAAACTGTATGCTATAATTAAATGAAGAGACTAAATGTGGTCACAAGATATCCCTGCAGCTGATTGCAAGAAGATACTGATAAATTTTTGTTTTTACAGTTCCTGTTTACTGTTTAACCCTTTACACCCTAAGATCAGCATCCAAGTTCTCCATACTGTTCTCCATACATTTCCTAGGGTACAAACAAAGAGGGGTAATACTGTTGGGAGAAATTAGAAGTTTATCACTCTTAGGAGTTAAAGTGTTAACTGAAACAAATAGTTAGGATAAAACACAATGCTTGATGCTTAGTTTGTGTAGCTACAAATGTTTTCAAGGATGGGAAGGCTTGAAATAATTGATGTTTTGTATCTATAAAGTGGCCATTTAGGTGTAATGGAATGTGAAATTAAGCAATATTCTAGCCAGATATCATTATTGTCAAGTAACTCCTCCTTCTCTTTCTACTCTTCCTACTTCTCCCATCACTCCTCCTCTTTCTTTGTCATAGTTATGTCAGACAGTTTTAGTAGAACATAAGAGTAGCCTATCAGAATTTACTTCCTAATATGGAGTTATCTTTGATAATTGTTGAAAGTGTGATGAGTGAAACTTTTTTTGGATACTTAGACATTTTCTACTGCAGTTTTCAGACCACAAACTCAACCAAACTGAGTATACTTATTACTTCAACATGCAATTGATTACAACCAAGATAGCAATGGTCAGAGAGCAGACCACACATATCAAGAAAATGGTTACAACTAAACCACAGTCATTATTTAAATTGTTTTGCTTACTTTGCTAGTCTGATTTACTGCCAAGCTTATTCTGAGGAGCAGGTTTTAACTGCCAAGGAAGTTTGGCTGTAGAACTAGCATTACTGGAAAGGCCAATTTTGTAACCAATAATTCCTAATTGACAGCCTTGGTCTGCATGGCTCTTCTTGTATTCAGCCAGCTGATCAATACCTGCAGATAGCTCAGCTAGTGAATAATCATACAGGTTTCTCTTAGGCTGGGTCAGTTGTTGACCACTTCACAGTGGTGCAAACATTGTATAGTAGCCACTAAGACAAAGTGGATTATGATATTTAATCAATTTAAAGACTAGCGTACATTTGAGTCACAAAATACTTTTCTGATGAGTTTTTTGCATATTTGTCCAGTAGTCTAAAATTGCATCAACCAATTTTTAACTGCCATTAAGCCCATGGTGACTGAAAGTGAGGCTAGAAGTTAACTTTATTCAAAATGATAATGAAAAAAAAAAGGTAAATTTTGCATGATGGGAGTGCAGATTAGCATAGAAAAACTAGCAACTATTTATTATGTTAAGGTCAACACCTCTAGCCTTTGTCATCACCTCTGTGTAAGCTTTGGCAGTGAAGAACACAAAGGTAAAATGGGTCATTTTAATGACAATTTTGATTATACATGTATCAAATTTGTTACTTTTTGATGTGAGAGTACCCTCCCTTAAATTGATTGTTGCCTTGCAGATGATCCTTGTGATCCCAATCCATGTCGAAATGGAGGAACATGTCAAGTTGATGATCAGAGACCTAACCATTCTTCCCTTCGTATTTACTGTCAATGTACTGAACATTTCATTGGTGAATTTTGTGCTGTACCAAAAAATGGAGGTAACATATAAGAAGTGTTATATGAAACATGATCAGTTGACACTGTACTTGGCGTGTTTATTCAGATTACCAGAGAGCTAGATTTAGAATTTGGTGGTCACTGGTACACTTTTCGTAAGTCTTTAATGACTAAATGTGAGTAACACTGTGAATTTTATTTTGTATCAGGACAGCACCCTTTAATTGCATGATAACTTATCAGAATACTGGTCAGCAAGAAAATGTGTATTTTCACAAAAAAATTGCCAAAAAGTGTAAAATGTTTAGTTCTCTACAACATTGGCACATTGGCACATTGGCACATCTACCATTATATATACGCAGTGACATTATTCGCCTTAGATATTCTCATACACTCAATTTTCCTTAAGAGTGAATGTGAACACACTAATCGATTATTTATCTCAGTGCAATTTCGGTCATTTTGGCTGTAGGGTAAAACTGGGAAAACTTTTCTAAGCACTGAATTGATTATAATATTCTAGTTGCGAAATATGTAAAAATCTGGGAGGGGAGGCCGCTATTTCTCATAGGGGCAGCTGACGAACAAAGCTGAAAAATCAGTTGTTGCATAATTTGGCGATGTTTTCATCTGACATTCTCAGCAACAAAAGATGTAGACAAATGTAATATACATGGCTTTGAAGGAATGTTATGTTATGAGCAATATCCTGAAGAGGATATTCGCCTCTGGCTGTCATCTTCTAAAAGAAATTGATCTACTTTCATGAATGACTGCTGAGCAATCCTAAATTCTTTGACGTCCAGTACACTGCTATACTTCTATGTCATTTGCAACATGTTAAAGTCGGCTTATTTCTGACGAACTATCTCAACTCCGATCTTTGGTTAATAAACATATGCATTATCAAGACGGCGTGACGCTGTATTTCTCCATGAGGTTTCTATCGTTCGCCTCAAAGAAGACGAGAACCGGACATTTTTCTATATTTCTGGGCATTCTGAAGAAACATACTATCCTAGAAAAAGATAGTTAGGAAAACCACGATTAAGTAATCACGAGGGTGCACATCGCAAGCAGGCAGCGGTAGTGCTACATGGAAAACCCAGTTGTGATAATAGCAATTTGAAAGACATATATGAGTATCTCCTTGCAATAACAAGTTCATGCAGTTTTTATTTCTTGGTGATAGGAATTGAGATATTTCGAATCATCTGAACACTTGTGGTCTTAAAGACGAGGTTGACGTGTTACCGATGTAGAGCCCTTCATTGACTTGAAAAGGAAAACAAATTATGATGTCAAAATAAAGAAAAAATTGAATCTTAATCTCATAATTCCACCTTTCAAACTACTCATTATCCGCGTGCATAATCGTAAGACGTAACTGGAACGAAACTCCCCATAGTTAATATGTAAAATGGATTGCTAAAAAAGCGATTTCATCAAAATTATTTTCCACAATTTTGTTTTTTTCCAGGATATCGTTTACAAGCTAAAAAGAAAAAAGATAAAAATGGTGCGATCGCTCGGTATTTTACACAAGAGGAAGTCAAAGGACTCTTTAATTTCCCTCAGAGGTTGACACTCACCAAGAATTAAAGAAAAAGGAGATCACTCGGTCAAAAAAATTTAATCCGTGGAAATTATCAAGCTAGCTGAGACAGTGCCCGTTTTTTCATCAGTGGCTACTAAAATCATTTGATATCTGTATGCTTCGGTGCGTGCGATACCGGAAAACCTTGTGGGGTAATTTTGTAAGCCCTAACGAAAGCGTTTTATTATCAAGAACGAGAAATCTCAAGGCCCAAAGTATAAAATAAATTTCAAGCATGTAAAAGATTCTCTGAAATAAACAGAATTGTGGAAAATGATTGTGATGAAGTACCAATTCTGTCTACTGTAGCGTGTGCGATTTTAATTTTTTATATGTTTTTATACAAGGATGGAAACATTGATTGACTCGTCTGCTCTACAGCGCTACTACGTTAACCTCTTCATCGACATCTCTAGAAAACAAGGACTGAGCGAGATATCTTAAAGAGCTCCTCTCACAATTCGTTAAAAAAAAGGCTCTCTAAGGGCAGCATTTGATGTCAACATCAGACTTTCATGTTCATGTTGCAAGGTTTCTGCCGTGGTTGACTGGTAAAAATAAAAATCATCGATTCCCAAGGAATATTCAACTTGCGTGTTTTATGAGTAATATTTATGCTTAGATTCTTGTTTCAATCGCTTTTAAACTTTTCAGATTGTCAGGAAGCACTAGGGATGGAAGATTATGGAATACCCAACGAACAAGTGCGAGCATCTTCGGAATGGAACTCCAACCATGCCGCCATTCAGGGACGGCTCCATTACAAACCACCGTCAGGCAAACAAGGAGCATGGTCTGCCAAAGAAAACGATAAAAATCAGTGGCTTCAGATTGATCTGGGAAGTGTGTTCACCAGGGTGACAGGTGTTGCAACTCAAGGTCGATATAACTATAACCAGTGGGTGACAACGTACAAGCTGCAGTACAGTAAGGATGGTTCTACCTTCACCTCATACAAAGACCCTGAACAAGCTGCAGACAAGGTAAAATAGGATGAAAAATTCTTGCTCATTAACAGGGTTTCTTGAGCTCCACTTTTTCTGACTATTTCATCCTCCAGCCTGCTAAACGTTTTGAATTTTGTTGTTTACTTTGAAGAAGCACTGTAGAAGGATTATCATTTTCACGCCGCTAATCTACCACACAATTCGCTACGAAATAACACTTTCAATCATTACCTTTACTACTTTCCAGTCTCAATTGTAGAGATGCACTTTAAATCCTTTTCTCCTTTAGGTTTTTGATGGAAACACCGACCCGAACACAGTTGTCGGTCATGTCCTCAACGAATCAATTACGGCTCGTTACATCCGTTTTCGACCAGTGACTTGGTCAAGGCACATCTCAATGAGAGTGGAGTTGTATGGTTGCTCAGGTACTGTGATGCTAAATTAGCCCTCAATTAGTTGCATGGTGGCAAGTACATGTAGTTTAAAGAAGGGGTTACACCGCATGCTGAATTTTTCTTAGACCTTGTCTCCCTCTCCCTCTTATTCCCCTTCTCCTTCTCCCTTTCCCCTCCACATGGAGATCTCAAAGTGGTTTATTTTTCAATCAGACTTTCCATGCCAAAGTCCGGATGTGGGCCTGCCAAATATCTCACCAAATGCATCTTCCGACGTGAGCATTCACAGATTAAGACAGTTTACAATACAATCTGAAGTCAAATTGCATTGTGAGTTATCTGACAAAACATCATTCCTCTGGCGTGTTTATAAACTGGGTGAAGAAGATACACCATTACTTTCAAGAAATAGCTTCTCAGAATTACAGATCACACCACGCTTGTTGCCAGTTGGTGAATTCTTGGTTAAACTCAATGTCAGCATGATAGGACCAGCAATTTTTGGGGTCAGCCAGGGTTATTTCGAGGTGGTGAGTAGCCCTTTAGTGGCATCCATCACTGGAGGAAGCAAGGTGGCCAGAGGACTGGAAAGAACATTGATTTTTGATGCATCCCTTTCATATGATCCTGATGAAGAGAATCTGCAATTTTCAGGTTAGTAACCAAGTGCATCATAGGTCTTTTGACAAAATTTCATGAGCAATCGGAAAAAGACGAGGGAAACTTTTCAGGAAGGATGAAAATAACTTCTTGACTAACTGATCGTTACTATTGACATAATTTAACCCCTACGTTTAACCTTATTGTGCTTTTTTAGGCCTCAACTTTACCTGGCTATGCAGAGGAGAGTTGCCTTTGGATCTTAATAATTCAGATGAGGCAGGATGTTATTATAGGGCTGGTGATAAAGAATATGTTGGACATGAACTAAGAGTAAACAACAGTCTTATGACAGAAAACACCTCATACTTCATAACAGTACAGGTTACAAGAGATGAAAGGAAAGCTGAGTACACTCAGGAAGTGTTTATCGTTCCTGGTGACCCACCGGAAGTGCAAATCAGGTATTTGAAACTTAAGACATGAGGTACAGCTGAACTTCACCTGTTATTGACAATCTTAACAAAATCAACTTTGACAAATTAATTGCGACAACCTTAGGCATTTATAAAACTTTTAATGGAACAATGACAAGTTTCTCAGAGCATACCATACTGTATTGTTGTAGGTAGACTATTCCTAGGTCTTTAGACTATTGTATCATTTCAAGTAATACATCCATTGAAGGATTAAAAAATATGTTCCTACTTTTAAATGTAAACGTTTACCTATCTAGTTTACAATTTTGAAAAAATTGAGGGAACTAAATTTTATATTGAAGAAAAATGGTTCACAAATGACAGAAGTAAAACGAGGTGGGCTAAGGGTGCACTGTGTAACTTTGCTTTGAAATCTGTTTAAACTGCATCATCAAAATGACCCACAGGTGTGTTGAAAACTGCGATGCCAAACTGAATCCATCTGGGAGAGTGGCTTTACAGGGCATGTGTACAGGTGCCTCATGTCATGGTAACCTTATCTTCAAGTGGACGGTTTTAAAAGACTTGAATAACTCTTCAAACAGTTCACAATGGACTGAGGTTTTAGAAATACAAGAGTTGATAAGTACTCGAGTTTCATCAAAATCTCTCGTCACTAAGCCTGGAGTGCTGACACCCGATACCAGGTATAAATTTATATTGACTGCACAACGACCAGGTGGATACCGCGGGTATTCCGAGTACCACGTGACCTCAAACAGTCCCCCTGTTGGAGGAGTATGCAATGTGAGCCAAATATCAGGAGTTGCTCTTATAACAGAGTTTACTTTTACTTGTGATAATTGGCAGGATCCAGATCTTCAGTTGCAGTATGAATTTATTTACCTCAGAAGTAACGATCTTCTAAATGTGGCGTACAAAGGAGTAAAAACTAGTTTAACAACCAAACTTCCTGCTGGAGAGAGTGAAAATAACTTTACCATCGACTTTCGCGTGCGAGTGGTTGACATTTTGGGGGCATACACTGAAATGAGGACTCCTGTGCAGGTATGAAATGGTAACCGTAACGGCAAGGAACACCTTCACTAGTTTATTTTGACTTTTTTTCCTGTTCACTTCTTATTTTAGTCAGCACTGTCTATGACATCCAGATGTAGTTGATGAAATTTTTTTTTTAAATTTTAGGTTTCTGAGCCCAATATTGATCCAAAAGACCTTGTCGATGTTGTCACCAACCTCACGTCTGGCGATGAAAGTGAACTGAACTCCTTGATCAAGTCAGGTGATGTGTCACGTGCCACACAATTGGCCGCAGCAGTCCTTTCGGCCGTTGATTTTGTTACGCAATCAGAATCTGCAGAAAGTCAGGCGCAGGAGCTCACAGAGAAAAAAATTATGGTAATTCTTACATACTTAGAAAAACTAATGATGGAACTTCTCAGAGCGAACTACCTAATTGTAAGGAATTTTTTTTATTAGAGGCCTAATGGGACACAGTTCAGTTTGAGTCACAACTGCCCTGGGCTCCTGTACCCTTGGGCACTTGGTCGGGACTTGAACCCAAGCAAAGTTTGTTGCTGGTAACACCAACGTTACCGCACGCTGTGCCAAGCTTGGAACTGAGAAGTCTCTGGGTCTTTTCTCACCGGGTTTGAAAGATAAACCTGGCATGGCTAGTATTTAGAGGAAGACGCAATACTATTATAACTTGTATAGACTCCAACTCCGTGTCTTGTTGTTGCCGGCTTGAGCGCAGAATTGTCTTTACCCGGCCGTGTTACTTTGTCCATAACGATATTTGTATACCTGTTATGGGATTGGAACTATTCCATTTGTGTCCATGTTAAGAATACATTTATATTTTTTGTAGATAAAATCAAACATCATACAACAGCTTTCAACCGTCCCAGTAGATACTGTCGTTAGAGTCCAGCAGGTATCGAATGTGATAGCCTCTGCCAGCTCAGTCATCGCCGAGATTACCAACGAAGCACAGGTAATTTAATAACCAATCACTTCATTTTAATCACGCCAGTATCGCTTTGTTAGCTAAAATTACAAATAACACGATCAGGTCGCTTGAAAGAACAAAAATGCTTTTCCTGATCCTTTAAACTTTTCTTTTCGTCTAGAAAGATGCAACGGATGCACTCGAAAAGATGGCTGTAGTATTGAAGACGGCGAGTGAAGCTGGACAAAGTTACGACACACTATTTGATGGTGTGAAAAGTCTTGTAACTGGACTTGGGAGCATGCTCAGGCTAACTTCACACGGAGCTAGTGTGGAAAATGCTGTGTCACATGAAGAGTCTCAAATGAAAGCTAACTTTATAACTGCATATAAAGGACGCTTGTCTAAGAATCTAAAGGGGAATCTCAAATCGAGAACTTCTTTGTCTAATAAATTGGGTAGGAGGACCAAAAGGGACGGTGCTGACGTACAGCTGCAGGTAGGGAATCGGATATAAATTCAAGTTAAAAACCTGAATCGAAAATTAAAGTTAGACATGTGCTAAATCCGCAAAGCACCTCTATAATGGTTCCACAGGAAAAAAAGCCACGTCAAATTGGAATTCTACCCACATTTTCCACTTCCTGATTGGAGCGCTGATCTGAAACACAATTTCGCTTGCCATGTCTTCAATACCATATTTCTAGAAAGGAGACACTGAAAGTACAACATTTTGACCGATAATTGGGAACAAAAGCTAGATTCAGTTGGTAAAAAGATTAATGTTAAAAATCTAGCTTTTGGGTTGCTATTCCTCAAAAAACAAAGAAAAAAAAGCATTAATTGCTCTAAAAGTTAAAACTTTGAGTGACAACAATTATTTTTTAATCTTTTTCTTTAAGGCTCGTGTCCAAGTTGAGACTCTACTTCATTCCTTGGAGGAAGTCGGAAGCACCATCTTGTCCCGGACTCTCGTTGGAGAAGAGCCAAAAGAGCTTCCAGCCCAGGCAATTTCCCTGCTAGTGTCGCGACAGGAGCCTAATTCACTCGCTGGGACTGTTTTGTCAAATAAAGGGAACAGTTTTCAGCTTCCTCCGGCCTCCAAATTGTTTGACAATTCTGGCCACTTTGTAGATAGCCAGGTTTGTAAGAAACCTTCTTAGTTTTAAGACAAAAATGCAAGAGTGTTTACTTAAATAATCACTGAATTGGCCTAGCCGCACTTTCACAGCACTTTTTCTTTACTTTATTTATTAATGTAAGTGTGGTGGCGCTCCCACAAGACTGTTGGCTTCCTGGGTCTCCTCGCCTTCTAGCTATAACCGCTGTAAATAAATTTTTTGTATTGTGTAAATAAGGCAGATAAAAGATGATGATGATGATGATAATGAATTGTACATTTCAAATATTTACTCTTAACTCTGTTGCAGACATCGCGTTATTAACATTATGACAAATTCCTCCCATAGTACTATATTTTAATTACCGAAACGGCCCTACTTTTGTGAGAAAAAGCCATTTCAGTGATGTGCTCCGACCATCCTTTTATGACAATTTCCCCCTCTTTTCTTTTTCGCTGCCGGTCTGACAGATGGTAACGACAGACTTCACACCGTTCTCATGGGACCCGTCAGGAGAAAGAGTGACAACCGCTGTTTCAAGCCTTGAGCTTAAGAACAGTTCTGGGCATCTCTTAAATACGACGGAACTAATACACCCGATTACTATAAGACTACAGAGCCATCAGGACTTCACAAACGCTGCTAAGTCTCATTATGTGGGAGCCAACAGAACTGTTTTCTTCAAGATAAATGTCACTCAGTCAGGGATGGCATTGGTGCTAAACATTCGTCCGGAAAGCAACAGAACAGAGTTTGTGGTGACTGTTAAGTACGGAGAGCGGCCTTCCCCAAGTAATAGCGACTTAAAATCAACAATACCTGACCTTTCATCTTGCGGTAAGATGCCAGATGGTCATGTGAACTGTTCACGCAATCCATATATAGTGTTTGTGAACCAAGACTTTGTTAAAAACAAAGGTTTTGGATATTACTACTTTGGGCTAAGAGCCGTGTCAAGAATTTCTGAGATCCTAAGGGTTAAGCGCTGCTCAGGTCGCGGCCGTTTGAAGCGGTCGTGTGTACAGTACAAGGAACCACCCACCACTGGTGAAAGTTACAGCGTACCTCAATACCGTGTAGGGGATGAAAATTACACCTTTCAGGTGACGCCAGCTGCTTGCCTGTTCTGGAATGCGCAGTTATCGAAATGGACCTCAGAGGGGTGCCAGGTAAGAGAAGAAATAGTAGATATTTAATCACTAATGAAATATAGGGAATAGTGCTTTAACGCAGAGGTGACTAAGTACTCTTCAGCTACGAGTATCAAAAGCACTTACCCTTTTGATACCACAATCTGATAGGAAATTATTCTATTAGAAGAGGCCGGTGTCACTGAAAAATAGGAAAAAATCTCCTTTCTCTGTAGTTTCGGTTTGAAAGTGGCACATTTTAAACTGCTTTCTTGCAGGTAGCCGAATTGACTACTCAAGATGCCATTTACTGCTCCTGTAATCACTTGAGTGCTTTTGGGGGTCAGTTATTTGTCACGCCGAATCCAATCGATTTTGATAAAGTTTTCACTGAACTAACTGGCCTATCAGATAGTGGAAACATAGCTGTCATATTAGCGGTTTGCTGTGTATTTGGTTTTTACCTATTTTTATTGGTGTGGGCTCGAAAGAATGACAAACTTGATATCTTGAAGGTAGGCAGATGATTTCTAAATTTCTCAACTAGTTTAACAATCGAATTTTATATGATTATCTATTTTCACTCTGATTTTTCTGTAAAGTATAGATATTTAACTGGGGCTTCTAAGGAGATTTAAGTGGCATATGTTGTTCATTTGTTCGTACTACAAATGAGCAACATATGACACTTCTATGAAGAACCCATGATGTGTTCATGTTAATCACGCAATTGTAAAGTGCTGAACTAGGTGTAAAGTTTACACTTAGGTCAGCACACAACTAAATTTTCTTTTTTTGTGAGAATTTTTTACAACCCAAAGACGGACAATAAGTATATAATTTTTTGATAACGGGGTGGGTGACAAAGCTCATTGGTGCACTCTGATATTCACAGGACAGCATGCACAGTACAATAATTGAGACTGATTTATTTTTCTTTTTGGTTTTTACAGGTGGGGGAAAAGCCATTCGTAGGAGTTCCTTCACCAGGCTCTTATTTCGTCGAGGTTCAAGTATCCACAGGCATTTGGCGAAACTCCGGCACCACTGCTAACATTTTTATTATACTAGAGGGGGAGCTAGGCACTAGCCGACCTTACCATTTGAAAGACGATTCGTGCATCCCTTTCGCAAGGGGGAGCATTAGTTCCTTTATCCTTTCGATTCATGACAGTATTGGTCCCATGAGAACCGTGCGCGTATGGCATGACAACTCGGGCACCAGTCCATCGTGGTTTTTGAATCATATCAAGGTTTGCGAACTGACCAATGAGAAGCAATGGAACTTTGTGTGTTTCGCGTGGCTGGCTGTTGATAGAGGTGATGGATTAATAGACCGGACTCTTCGTTGTACTTCAACTGCCGACAAAGGAATTGATTTTGCAGTTTATGTTCAGAATAGAATTGCTGGTGAGTTCAGTGATTCACATTTATGGTTTTCTGTCGCAACAAGACCACCAAGTTATCGATTTACTCGAGCTCAACGTTTATCTTGCTGTCTAGCTATATTACTGACTACCATGCTAAGCAGTGCCATGTTTTACGAGCGTGAAACAGCGATGGACGATGATCAAGGATCGTTGAGGTTGGGCCGTTTTGTTGTGAACTTCAGAGCGCTCGTCATTGCAGGGCAGAGTCTTATGATTGTACTTCCTGTCAATATTTTGACCGTGGCACTTTTTACTCACACTCGTTCTTCAAACGAGAATAAGGAAATGGCTCTCCAAAGGGACCCGCATAGGAAATTCGCCAAGAAGAAACGTGACTTCTCTTTTCCACGCTGGTTTATATTCGTTCCTTGGCTCTTGTGTTTCCTCCTCTCGTCATGTTCGGCGGCTTTTGTTATCTTCTACAGTCTTCAGTGGGGTGCAGATATAAGTGAGCAGTGGCTGATTTCAGTTGTAATGTCAGTTGTATTGGACATATTTGTATCGGAACCTATTCAAATCATAGTTGTTGCCTTTATGCTATCTCACATTTTTAAAGGAGGAATTCAAAGATTTACGTGGCAACCTTATCACGTTGACGCAGTCGTTGATGTCGAAGATATTGAATTGAGTGGGTTAGGCAACAAAGAGATTGACGAGGAAGAAATTGAAATACCAAAGCCACTAAGCAAAAGGCAGTTACGTCGCGCAAGGGTCGCTCGAATAAGGGAGGTGTATATGTATACTGCCCTTCGGAATATAGTGTCGTACATGCTGTACTTGTTAATTCTATGTATTGTTTGTTACGGTGGACGTAGCGAGCATGGGTACCCGATGACATCTTCCATTAAGAAGACATTTGGGGAACTTGATTCGGTATGTTATCGGCCAATTTCTCGTTTTATATACGCGTAACTTAAAGACAACGAATACCTACACCTCTCTGTGATTGTACGAGCCTTTAGATTACTCCTTAAGTTTATAGGAGAAACAATGGCAGTAGATAGAAACAATCAAACTAAAACTTTTCAAAGTAGAAGGAGTTACTGATTGATCGTTGGCTTTTTCGCTTCTTATCATATAGATATCAAATCACTTTAACACTTGGGACTGGACAC